TTCCTATGTCAATACTCATTCATATGAGCAAAGAAGGCAATCTAAAAGTAGGTCATCTGAGATAAACATCTGGGCTCAGTCCTTACTGGAAATGACTTATAAACCAGACGGCAAAAGAAAAAGCCTAAAAAAAAGTAGTATCATATGCAACTTGTAAAGTGTTTTGTTCCTACTTAGAATTTGAAAATAAATCAATTTTATCAGAGTGACCAAAAACAGTGTTTTTGCTAAACTGCAGGTCATGGCCCATTAATGGGTTGTGAAATATATTAGTAGGTTGAGACAAGCTTTTTTTTTTTTTTTTTTTTTTAATGATAGTAGAGACTACAAATAACAATACCAGAATACATTGCAAAGCTTAAGTACTGTTTCATGAAAATGTTTCAGTTTTGTGTACAAATGTATATAAAAGGTACATAAATAACTGGAAAGTGTTTTATATTGTAGGTCACAATAAAAAAAAAGTTTGAAAACTACTGATCTAGGGTCTACCAGTAAAATAAGCTTATTTTCTCAGAGTAGGAGCAAAATTGGGAGGAATATTTTTATCCACTTTTGGAAGATTATATAGTCCAAAGATCATCTATCTAAGATTTTAAATAACTGTGTATTCATTTCTCAGATGCCAAATTGATTTAAAAATTTAAAAGACTACTGTTTATCTTGTATATAACAGGAATGGTTCAATGTGCTAGAAATAGAAAAATGAATTAAAACTATATCCCTGCCCTCATGAAGTTTAAATTCTACCAGTGTATGTAAGTGCTTTACATTCACTCTCACTTGGATCTCCTAATCCTATGAGATAGACAGTATTTATCTTCATTTTATATATGAGGAAACTGAGGGTTAGAGAAGTTATTTAACTTGTCCAAGATCTCTATCTCATTTTCTCTCTCTCTCCCCCTCACACAACACACACACACACACAATCACATACATACATACACACATCAAGTCAATGGCAGAGCTGGTATTCAAACCTAAGGCAGCAGGATTCCAAAGCTCTGCTCTTAGCTACTACACTACACTGCCTTCCAGTGTCCTTCTATCTGTAGGAAAATAAAGTGGGATTGCTTGCCCTTTTAAAAATGTTATAAGTTGAAAGAGGACAATTCTTAAAAGTTGACAAACTAAAATTCAGTTTTATTAAATTTGCTTTGGACTACACACACTCAATCATCAGATGATTTTTAAAATACCTTCTGCAAAGGAATAGACAAAAAACATATAAATCAGCACAGTGTGGTTTAAAAAAAAAAGTAGAGGGTCTACTCCCTGAATAAGTTCAGCTTAAGGTTCCCACGATGACAAGCTCTAGCAGAGGAGCACAACTATTCACAGGTCTTATTAGGATAATCATTCCCTAGGTGGAGCCTGCAGGTTTGAGAGGCATGTTGAGAGAAGCAAGGCTGACCCACATAGGCAGCAAGATACGCTGAGTCAACCCTGCCAACGAAAGTTAAGACAGAGGGGCCAGATGACCTCACATCTACACTACTAACACTCTGTCTGATCCTTGAGAGCAGGAATTGTTTCTGTTTTGCTCCCACTGTATCCCCATCACATAATACAGAGTATGGGATGTGGCAGGTACTCAGTAAATATTTGCTAAGTGAATATTACACAAGTTATTTACAAAATATTTCTTCTCTTGGGCCCTGGTTTCCTGTAATGCAAAAGGGCTGGACTAGATTAATATATTCACTTTCAGCTCATACTTCTATGTATGAGCTATGTATACTTCTATGTGACTTTCATACTAAAAGTCATACTTCTTTGAGCTAGAATTTCTAAATACATTACATAAAGCATCAGTAAAATTACTGTAAGATATCCGTGTCTGAATACATGCCTAGTCACAAGGTTTCATAACATCTTACAACATCTTATTTATGCAGTTCCACATAAGATAAACAATGAATTTGCCCTGTTGAAAATACTGAAACTGCTCAATATTGCTGAGGTAGAAAGAGATAAAAGCTAACTATTGTAAAAAAAAAAAAATAACATAAAATAATACATCTGACCGTTTAGCTAAAACGAGAGAAGTTGGTGCTCATAAAAACAGTAACAATAGCGGCAACAAAATTAAGCTCCATCAGATGTTTGAAGAATCAGAAAAATCTGTTAGCTTGTTTAACCAAATAATCTTATTGTGAAGGTAGAACATTTATTTTTTAAATAGTATAACACAGATTTATCTCCCATAATCAATTGTTAATTAGAAATTACTTCTTAACCTTTCACAACTTTTTCCAAAAAGTAAAACTAAATTATTTTTAGCCTATTTTTAAATAATGGAGCAACTTAACTATATCAGAAGCCACTAGTTCATGGTCAGGTTTTATTAAATATATCTGCTGAAGACTGAAATGGAATTAAATATTAAAGTATGTCCCTCATCTATAAAAAACTTAAATGGTTTTCAAATCACCTCTAATTGTTGTGGGCAGAAAGTTTTTCTTCTAAACATTTTAAACTCCTTTGTGGATATTTGTTATACATAGGGTGGGGCAAAAGTAGGTTTACAGTTGTGAGTACAGTTGTGAGTACATGAAACAGTTTATTCTTGTATTATTAGTTATTAATTATTGTATTATTTTCTATACAATTGTAAACTTACTTTTGCGCCACCCTGTATGAGAAACATTGGTAGAAACAACAGGGGAATCAGAAAACTCTAGAAAGTATGGAGTCCTCATATATAGGGCCCAATGTGGGTACACATGCCTTGACATATAAAGTCAAAGAATAATTCAAAAGTTTAAGTGAAGGCACATTGAAAGAAATACCATAAGATATTTTATAATGTGACTGGCAATAAAAGCAAAAGGAAGACCTAAATTTCATCACAGGCAGATTCTAAAAAGAGAAAAAGTTTATACTGATGACATTTTCATGGGTTGACTTCTTCCTTTAGGTTACTCTTAATTAAATAGTCTAAGCCTATTTTTAAAAACAAAAAAGTTATTATTCAAAGGATACCAAAAGTTTCAAATCAACAATAACTGCTTTTATAACACTTAAAAGGTAAACAATTCAAGCTTACTTTAATAATTCTTTTAAATATAGCAGTCCATGAGAAATTGGAAGCCCTGTGTATTGCTACCAGGAATATGAAATGATACAGCCAATGTGGTGAACAGTTTGGCAGTTCCTTAAAAGCTAAATATAAAGTTACCATATGACCCAACAACCCAACTCCTGAGTATACGCATATACGTGAAAGATTTAAAAACAAGGACTCAAACAGATGCCTGTACACAAACATTCATAGCAGCTTTATTCACAGAAGCCAGAAGGTGGAAACAACTCTGTGCTTATCACTAGATGAATGGAAAAAGAAAACGTAGTATACATATACATACAACGGAATTCTCAAACATAAAAAGGAATGACGTTCTGTCCTGGCCAATGTGGTTCAGTTGGTTGGAGCACTGTCCTGTAAACGGAAAAGTCTTGGGTTCGATTCCCTGTCAGAACACATGCCTAGGCTGCAGGTTCAGTCCCTGGCGGGGACATGTACAAGAGGCAACTGATCAATGTTTCTCTCTCATATTGATGTTTCTCTCCCTCCCTCTCTCTCTCCTTCTCTTCCCTGCTCTCTAAAATCAGTAAGCACGTCCTCGGGCAAGGATTAAAAATTTTTTTAAAAAAAGGAATGAAGTTCTGATACATGCTACAAAATGAATTTTGAAAACATTACACAAAGTGAAATAAGCCAGATGCAAGGCAAATATTATACGATCCCAGTTATAGTAAATATCTAGAACAGGCAAATTCATAGAAATAGATTAGAAGTTACCAATATATAAATGTCTATATTATATTGCACACCTGCTACTAATACAGTATTTATGTCAACTGTACACTGAATAATTAAATAAAATTACCAGCAGCTGGGAAGGAAAAAAGACTAGGGACTTAATGCTTAATGGTTACAGAGTATCTGTTTGAGGTGATGAAGAAGTTTTATAAATAAACAGTAGTGATAGTTTCACAACCATATGAATAAATTAATGCCACTTAATTCTACATTTAAAAATGGTAAAAATAACAAATTTTATAATTGACATATCTATATGTTTCTACACACGCAAACACACGCGCGCACGTGCGTGCGCTAATACAATTAAAAAAAAAAAAAAAGAGTATTCCATAATCACACCGCAGGTTAGAATACAAAAGGAAAATGTGCCTTTACATAAAATGAAGAAAACTGGTGGTTGTCACCGTTAACCAAGCTGTCCAATGTGGCCACTGGCAGCCTGACTTGATGTGCCTCCTGATGTGATGTGATCTACATAATGGTCTTACTAGAAAATTTGACCTGAATCTTATCAGGAAGAAGGTGACATCTAGAATATGGGATGTTCTGTAGGACAACTGGCCTAGACTCTTCATGGATTCACCATCACTAAAAAAACAATGTTGATAATGATTGTTCTAGATTGGGGAAACTAAACAAACAAAAAACCCACAAGAGCCGAATGCAGTTTTTGAACCCTAATTGGATCTGAGCTACAGTAAAAGGAGCTATCAAGGATATTTTTGGGATAACAGATGAAATTTGAGTTACAGACACCAGGTGGGAATAACAGTATTGAATTACTGTTGATTTCTTAGTTGTAGTAATGGTATATGGGTATACAAGAGAATGTCCCTGTACTTAGGAAATACATGCTGAGGTACTTACAGATGCAGTGTCATGAAATCTGCAATCTACCTTTGGATGGTCTAACAAACGAGAATGAAGGCTGGGGAGGGAGGGACAGTGCACTGGAACATCTAGGGTAGTAACTGGTGAATTTAAATGAAGGGAATATAGTGTTCATGTAGTTTTCTTTCAATTTTACTGTGGGTTTGAAAATTTCAAAATTTAAAAAAAGATTTTAAAAATTAGAATTCTTCGAAGTTCCCTCTTTTCCACTCAGAGTATATATAAGGAAGCTAAACGAACAATAGGGAAAATACAGCAAATTCAGTGCTTTACATACCTTCTACATCATACCAATGTGCACCATTTGTGATCCCATCTTTGAAAGTCTCATCTTCATCTCCAGGGCAATGAGGTGCCCCAGTTTTCATGATGGGGTGGTTTGAAGCATAGGCTTTTGCCAAGTATTTAAATACTTCATCATCTGAGGTTTTGCTATAGATTCCAGTGGCCTTATGTTCTGGAGAATCATCAAAAGGATAGCTTGCTACCACTGAGCCACCATGCAGATTTCCAGAAAGCACAAACCTTTGAAAATACAACCAAATTACATATCACTTAAAAAAGGCACAGAAAACATCATGTATTTAAAAATTTTACATCTTTCATAAATAAACTCAGTATCTCTTGACACCTAGGAGAAACTCTATCAGCTGTTACACATAGACCAACAACAAAAAAAGAAAATGGAAAGGAAGCATTGTCAATTTAACAAATTTCAAACTGTTTTTACAATTTGAATTAACCTCAAGTAACTTTAAAGAATTTTTCCACTATTAAAACAAGTATCTGGATAACACAGTGTAAATTAATGTTTTCAGGAGATGTCTTATTCAGTGAATTCCAAATTCATGTGTTAGGTCGAATAATGAGTTTGCCAATAGCTAATAATTTTTTGACCTACAAAAATGACAATATCATAGTTCAGCCTAAAACTTGTAGTTCATAATGTGTTAATTTTGTAGGAAGTGCGGCTGGTATAAATAAATATTTGCTGAAGATATTAGTTAGGTTAATAATTTTCATGCTTTTTATATTACTCTCCAAAGAAAATTTTTAACACAAGGAGTATAAAACAGGATGCGTTTTGCCTTGCTCCACATTCACAATATACTAAATTCATATTTTCAAGAGAAAAGCCACAGTTGAGAAGACTGTGGTCGGGGCGGGGGAGAGGGTGTAGAACCTGATACACTGAGCTGCTTTCAGAGAAAAATACAGCACATAAAAGACTAGTCCTCCACTGCATCACTGTAAAAGCAGCTCTCTCCCTGGGCCCCAGGCTCCTGATTGGGCCTTTAGAAAATAAACTGACAGGGAGACAAGACTGCTCCTATAAAAGAAACACTTTTACTTTTTTATGTTTCTACTTTTAAGTGAACCCATTTACAACCTGGTCAAATTTATAGATACAGAAATACTCCTTTTATGGTGAAAGCTAAAGGCAGAAACAGGCAGAAGTCCTATTTATATGTCTCTCCCTCGCATAGCAGTTCAAGCCATCACTATGAGTACAGATTAAACACTTTTCTCTTTGTACTTGAAATTGGATTTTCTTGCTTTTGCCTTTTTGTGGTTGAAATGCACTGACCTATAGAAATCCTAAAGGGGGTTGATATAGAACATTTATTTCTATATGCTTGAAAGACAATTAAACCTATGGACTGTCCCAGAGGAGATCAAACAGTGAAAATTACACAGAACCTGCTCATCAGTAGATAGAATTTAGCCATTAAAGACAGTGATTAATTACAAAAATAGACTGAGAAAAGACACTAATTAAAAACTAATATAATTATAATTAGCACTCTGCCAGACACCACAGGAGAATGCCATTTAACGCAGTGGCAAAAGCACAGGCTACGGAGCCAGCCAAACATGGGTTAAGAACATTCAGTCTCCCAGACATGCCTCGCTAAAAATATGATCAGAAGTTATTACCGCTACATTAACTGAACCCCAGTTTCCCTCTCATCTGTAAAGTGGGGATTAATGCTACCTGCTTCCCATGGTTGTTATGAGAATTAAAGAAAATAATATCTATGAAACATCTCCAGCAAAAAGACTGCTTTATAGCACCTGATCAACCAATGTTCATTCTTTGGAGAGCTTTACATCTTGCATAGGCAATCATGTTGCCTTACAGACTATCATTCTACTCCCCAGGTCTACTGCCAGCCCTTGGGTGACACCATGATACGGAAACAGAAAAATAATTACGTAGCCTAACATTCTTTCTCCACCTTACTCATCCCTCCCCCATAGCTTAAGATATTAACAATTTAGTTTCTGGTTTGCATGCCTAAAATAACTTCAATACTTTTCCCCCACTGACTTTGGGGACGTTACAAGAAGGGGCCCAGTGCAGGAATCCATTCAGCAACAAATTTTCTTGACTGTCAATTATGTCCCAAAGAGTCTACATACTAGGGTAGCTCAGAGAAGAAACAAAACACAAAAATGCCCGCAAGGTATTCATAGTCTAGTGAAATAAAGAAACTAAATATTCTAAATAACTGAAACAGATCACTCAACTAGCCGGCCAAGATGGATGCACAGGCAGATACACTTTGCCTCCTCATATAACCAAAAGAAGGACAACAAATTTTAAAACAAAAAGTAACCAGAACTGCCAGAAAACCGAACTGTATGGAAGTTGGACAACCAAGGAGCTAAAGAAGAAACATTCTTCCAGACCAGTAGGGGGTGTGGAGATGGGCAGCCGGGGAGGAGAGGACACGTGGGAAGGAGGCAACCAGAGGACCAGGGGGGCAAGGTGGTGGCTGGTACATTGGGTGGTCCCATGTCTGCATGCGGATAAACTGGGAGGAACAGCTGGAAAGCCAGACAGACAATCCAAGTTCTAGTGCAGGAAAAGAAAGCCTCAAAACCTCTGGCTGTAAAAACCTGTGGGGGTTGCAGCTGTGGGAGAAACTCCCAGTCTCACAGGAGAGTTCGTCGGAGATACCCAGAGGGTCCTAGCATGTACACAAACCCATCCACCCTGGAATCAGCACCAAAAGGGCCCAGTTTGCTTGTGGGTAGTGGGGGAAGTGACTAAAAGCAGGCGGAGAGCCAGGCAAGCAACACTGTTCCCTCTCAGGCCCCTCCCCCACACACTGGGGCAGAGCACAGCAACCTGGGTTGCCCCACTGTGGCAAATACCTAAGGCTCCACCCCTTCCAAGGTAACATGTCTTCCTATGTCTTAGGCACACTAAGACAAAGAAATATGGCCCAAATGAAAGAACTGGATCACAGCTCCAAAAACAAAACTAAGTAATGAAGAGAGAGCCAACCTATCAGATGCACAGTTCAAAACACTGGTAATCAGGATGCTCACAGAAATGGTTGAGTATGGTTGCAAAATGAAGATGTGAAGGCTATGCAAAGTGAAATAAAGAAAAATATACAGGGAACCAACAGGAAAGGGAAGGAAACTGGGACTCAAATCAACAGTTGGGAGCAAAAGGAAGAGATAAACACTCGACCAGAACAGAATGAAGAAACAAGAACTCAAAAAAAAAGGAGAGGAAGCTCAGAAACCTCCAGGACAACTCTAAACATTCCAACATCTGAATCATAGGTGTGGCAGAAGGAGAAGAGGAAAAGCAAGAAATTGAAAACTTATTTCAAAGAATAATGAAGGAGAACTTCACCAGTCTGGTGAAGGAAATAGACTTCCGGGAGATCCAGGAAGCTCAGAGAGTCCCAAAGAAGTTGGATCCAAGGAAGCACACACCAAGGCACATCACAATTACATTACCCAAGATTAAAGATAAGGAGAGAATCTCAAAAGCAGCAAGAGAAAAGGAGAGCAGTTACCTACAAAGGAGTTCCCATAAGACTGTCAGCTGATTTTTCAAAAGAAGCCTTGCAGGCAAGAAGGGGCTGGAAAGAAGAAGTATTCAAAGTAAAGAAAGCCGAGGATCTACATCCAAGATTACTCTGCCCAGCAAAGTTATTGTTTAAAATGGAAGGGCAGATGAAGTGCTTCCCAGATAAGGTCAAGTTAAAGGAGTTCATCATCACCAAGCCCTTATTATATGAAATGTTAAAGGGACTTATCTAAGAAAAAGAAGATAAAAAACTATGAACAGTAAAATGACAACAAACTCACAACTATCAACAACTGAACCTAAAAAAACAAAAACAAACAACTAGAACAGGAACAGAATCACAGAAATGGAGATCAGCGGGGAGGAGGAGGGAGGAGAATGGGGGGAAAGGTAGAGGGAATAAGAAGCATAAATAGTAGGTACAAAATAGACAGGGGAAGATAATAAATAGTATAGGAAATGGAGAAGCCAAAGAACTAATACGTACAACCCATGGACATGGACTAAGGCAGGGGAATGTGGGTGGGAGGGAGGGTACAGGGCAGAAGGGAATAAAGGGGAGGAAAAAAAGGGACAACTGTAATAGCATAATCAATAAAATACATATATTAAAAAAATGTTTAAAAAAATGACATCACTCAGGTGAGTGAGACGGGACACGGGCATAGACCAGCTGTGCATTTGTTACTTAGTGTGGGATGCAGAAATCATATTTTTACTTAAAAAAAAAATGAAACATGCTACTTTAATTAGGTATTTTCAGTTAAAACTTGAAATTCCAAGATTCTCTACTAAATGCTGTTTTTTTACTTTGTTCCACAATTCTTAAAACACTACTTAGAAATATTATTAAAAAGACCTAACCAAATATGGTACTTTTAGAATAATGAAATTCTTGCAATGTACTAGAGTGATAAAATTCAGTTACTGGATTTTCCTTATTCTACTTACACAGTCTTAAAAGTACCAACGCCATTTGTTGTCAAACAAACCTTGCATATCAATCCAATTTTATTTGAAAGGTATTTTATGGCTTCCATTCAAATCAATTCTCTGGAGCGTTTCTTGTATTTGACTTTAGCATCATATTTCACTCATTGCATAAGACAAAGTAGCTACTAAATTGATTATAAATATTATAAACAAGAGTCTACAGACTAAAATATAAACTTCTAAGTTAACTCTATTATGCTCTACAGATAATCCTATACATAACTTTTAAAAATTAAGAAAACTTGATGTCTGATAAACTAAATTCTACAGATTCTGGAAACTGTAGATATACACACAAGCCTCCAAAAGTAATCTGCACCCGCCTTCAACAATATGATTAATGCTTTTCACAAAGATACCAAAAATAATTTATGTGCTAATCTATTAAAATCTAAGTACATATCTTTAAAAGAAATATAGTGTGACAAGAATATGGGAGTCAAGTAAATTGCAGTCTTTATTTTAATAATGGAATTAAAATCTTGTTTATTTTCCTAAGTATACGTCTTAATTTTCAAGAGTACAAAAACATTCATTGGATGAAGTTTAAAGTGAGACAAAGAAAATAAACTTCATTTTTCTAAGCAAGAGGAAATAAGTGTTAAAATTTTACATATTCAAAATAGTAAGAAAAATCTCTTTCTAATAAAGCTAAGTGAATACGATATCAAGAAATTATTCAAATGATTTCACAAAATACACTGAAAAAGGTAATGTCCTCATACAGACTAATGTTTTGGGTTTCTAGTTTCCTATCCATAAAGCTGACTCTATAAGTAGCAATCTCAAATTGTGTGTGCATGTTTTTAACTTTATTCACATATGTGTCATTTGCTATTAATCATTAAAGAATATACATTTTGAGTTATTTTATTTTAATCCTCACCTGAGATGTTTTGTTGATTTTAGAGAGAGAGGAAGGGAGAGAGAGAAACACTGACTGGTTCCCTTCCTGTCATGCCCATGCCCCAAGGGGGATAAAACCTGCAACCTAGGTGCATGTCCTGATTGCGAATTGAACCCACAGCTTTTTAGTGTATGGGATGACACTCCAACCAACTGAGCCACCTGGCCAGAGCTTGAGTTAATTTTTGAAGACTGAGGGTGGATGGGTGTACTTTTCTTCCTATATACAAGGTCCAGCACAAGTAAGGCCCCTTTTTTATTACAAAATCTTTTATTACAAAATCATAATAAGCATGTAATTCTGTAATATAACAATATCACACTCAAGCACACCATATGACATTTTCGGTGAAATGTTCAAATTAAAATTATAAATTATTACACCCATATTATTACCCTACCAACAACACTCAAGCAGGCGTTACTTCTGCCAGGCTCTGTATAGCAAGGGTGTCCAACCCACGGCCCACGGGCCACATGTGGCCCAGGATGGCTATGAATGCAGCCCAACACAAAATCGTGAATTTACTTAACACATTGTGAGATTTTTTTGTGTGTCGCAATGTATTTAATGTACAGCCGAAGACAACTCTTCTTCCTCTAGTGTGGCCCAGAGACACCAAAAGGTTGGACAACCCTGCTGTTATAGTCACCTACTTTCTTTTCTAATTAAGAGTTACATGCTTGAAGAGTGGTTGAGTATGATTAAAGTATTCCATAGCCACAAAGCAAAATGACTTTCTATGCAATACCAACTAAGACAGATGAGCTTTTCAAATCCTCACAAGCTCTTATCATTGAACTAACTGACCCTTACCATAACTTATTAAATACTGGGGATATGAAAGAGTTAACCAGAGTGTACATTTTGGATTCCAAATTTTAAAGTTTAAAGCTTTCAGTATAGCCTCAAGGTGAATGCACCAAGACAAAGTTCATTTTCATTTCTGGTTACGGCAGAACTAACACTGAAGAGAAGAATCTAGTCACAGAATTTACATCCGTGCAAGGGTTGTGACAGGTCACTTTAAACATGTCTTTTAAGCACTGCAAATGGTGTATTTGGTATATCATTTGAAAAAGCCCTGGCCATCACAGCTTCTGCCAATAAGACGTACATTAAAGTCGTATTTCTTATGCAAATGTTCAGAGGTCATAACATGGTTATCTTTACAAGAAAAACAATTTTTCTGAAAGAATATGTGAAATTAAATGCCTACAAGAAATCTCAAAAGGAGGAGTAAAGTGAAAGGTGGAAGATAAAAAGAATCTAGAATTGTCACAATGCCAATGAATTTTCCAGGTATTATATATACTGAAATCTTGTAGATGACCCCAACTCCCACAAAGAAACTTCTTTGCTCATTATTACTTTTATCTTATCTGTCATTCCAACATCTTGAAATCAAGATGGAAAGATTAACTAGCCTTATGAAGGCAAAAAAAAGAAAAAAAAAAAGTGGCGGAGGATATCCTGGCAAAGCTGATCCTTGAAAATGGGAAGAGGTGCATACTCACTTCAGACACTGTTCCATCCAGACTAAGCTCCTCTTCCTTTATTCCTTACCTGTTTTGCTGAAAATCCTACCCATCTCTAAAGACTGAGTGCAAGTTCTACCTCTTCCACAGAGATGATTCATACTATTGCTGCCTACACACATTTTGCTGTAGGAACAATTCCTATAAAGTTTTACAGGATACATAAACACAAACCATATATATTTATAATATTCCCTTGTTATACAATTTCAAATCCCAAGCAATTTCTTGAGGTCCTCATGATTTTCAAATCCCATACAGGGCTCAATAACACTTAAGGTGTGAATTAAGTGTGACAATAAAGTGCACAAATGACATTAGAAACCCTTCAGTGTTTAAAATGAAGCCGCTCACAGATGAAGGTTCCAGACCTGTGCAAGTTCTCAGGCCATATCCATATGCTCCTTAGCTGAGTCAGAGGCAGTAAAGACTGGAAGAAAACCAGTTTCTGTCAAATAACCAAGAGGAAGACCCGGTGTCCTTTACCAATTCGGGGCTACAGCCTCCCTGTAGGCTGCTGAGAGCGCTAACAATCTGCCTGAGACTAAGTCCCGGCTACACTTTGTACTACGTAAATTATTTAACCAATCTAACCCTCTATTTCTCCATATGGAAAACAACAGTATTAATGGTGTCTATTTCAGTAGGTTGTGGCTACCGAAAGAGCTTAGCACAGTGCCCAGAGTAATAAGATAATCACAATATTGACAGCTTATCTATAAAATGAGTGAGCTGACCTAGGTTATCCTTAAGGTCTCTCCCATCACTCATATCCTATGGTCCTGTGAAAACAGGAACCAGAATGTCAGAAAGAAAAATTTCCTCCAGCCAAACTGCTCTCTTCGCACCCGCTGAACAAATAACAGCCTCTAGGCTGAGCTTCTCGGACAATTAGCGGAACGGGAGGATAAGAGGCCAGGGCCCTGTGCCGGTTACGGGATGCCGCCCTCCACGCCAATGCCCTGGTCCCTTAGGCCTGCAAGCACTGTGGGGCGCCCACCGAGTGCGGAGCCCTGCCTTTGCGCCGGAGGCTCCTGTGGACTGCGGAGGGGGAGGAAGGAAGACACTCACTTGTTCCTGCTGATCCAGTCGATGAGGGCGCGCACCTCGGGCACGTCGTCCAAGGCCGGGGGCTCGCCTGTGCTGAACTGGTCCGGAAAGCTACGGTTGAGGTCGCGGCCGCGGCTGTTGTCCCGGCCGCTGGACCCGGGAGGTCCACTATCGCCGAAGCCGCAGTCGCCCTCGTGGGCGCGCTCAAAGCCATCGGGATTGAGGCTGGGCAGCACGTACACGTCGGTGGTGTTCAGCAAGCGGACGAGGCGCGCGTCTCCGCGGCGGTAGCCAGCCGCCAGCTCTCGCGCCAGGTAGACGAGCACCTGGCGCGACACAGTCTCGTCGCCGTGCATGTTGCCCACAAGCTTCACCTGCGGCCGGCCGGGCAGCAGCGGCCCCGCCGCGTCCGGCCCCGCGTCGCCGTCAGGGGGTGGCGGCCCCAGGCCGGCCGTGAGGCGCAGCACCCACAGCGGCCGGCCCTCCACCGAGCTGCCTATGCTGAAGAGGCGGGCCAGGCCCGGGGGCCCCGCGGCCGCTGCTTCCCGTAGAGCCGAGCCCAGCTCCTCTTCGTGGTAGTAGCGGTCGAACTGGCCCTCGTACGCCTCGGCGCCCGCGCTCGTCGTCGTCGTCGTCGCCTCCGCCTTCTTGATGTGCGCTGCCCGGGTCGGGCTCCGCAGCAGCAGCAGCAGCAAGCACAGCAGCGGCGGGAGGAGCTCTGGTCGCCCGGGCGGCCGCGCGCCCCAGCCGCTCGCCATCTTCCAGCAACGCGGCTAGGCTGGGCTCCACTCCCGCAGCTTCGAGCTCCGGGCGGCCGGCCCGGGCCCGCCGGATCCCCTCAGCGCTTAGCAACCCCCTGGTCTCAGCCAATCGCGGAAGGACCTTCTGTGGCGTCAGGCGGGAGGGCGGGGTTTTCCTTAAAGTAGCCGATTCCCTTTGGTCCTGCCTTCCTCCAGTCCGGGAATAGTTTGGTCACTCTTCCTTCGCTAAGGTTCTTCTCGCCCTGCTTCCCATTCTCTCTCTTGCATTTTCTCCGCTTGTCCTCTACAGGCTCAGTCTCTTCTTTACGGGTTACCCCTTTCTATGAGTATTTTTGTCAGCTCCCTCACCAGCTTTATTGGACTTTTTCCCGGTTGCACTTTAGCGCTTAAGGTCGAGAATCAAAAGAATCAAAAGGTTGGAAAGAATGTACCTTGGAAAAGCCTTAGAAAGCCTTAGTCCTTTACGCCGTTCACCCTTCACCGGAGTCATTCTGCCTTGGCTTGAGACCAACCCCCTGCACGCGATTGAAAAATAAAAATGGGACACTTGGAGCGGCAGAGGCTCATTACCTCACAAAGCAATTCATTCGAATTTTAGTTTCCGTGTTGAAAGGTGTCTCCTATGCGGATATATGCTATGTAGTAGGCTCCCTTTGTGTTCATTTATGTATTTCTTTGGTGTCACTCCAGATTGTTTCACTGCCACTAGTTCCTGTGGGTGCCGGTTTCAGCCCTCTGCAGGCACATTTCATTTCATAGTTCACTTGCCCACCTCTCACAACTTTCCTGAGTGACTTGTTTGTTTAAGTGTAACATTAGAATGACATTTTTAAAGCAACAGTTACTGCGTTTCTGGAAACGCTTGGTGAATATAATTCTTGAACTCAATGTTTGGTCTAAGCTGGAAAATACAGTGCTTTATATTCTAAAGAGACCTTTAAACTTTTTAAACTAGGCTCTAGTCACTTTAGCTCAAAGAAACACAAAATCTCACAATCCTCTTATCAAGTGTGAAATCGTACCCATCTAACAACATAATTGCAATAACTTATATTTCCTGCTTTCAGAGCCAGGCATTTCAAAGCCCCATCCTTGAACTATGATTGAACCCGGTATGATTAGTAAAGAGTTAATTCATTCATTTATCGAATATTTATTGAGTACCTACTGTGTGCCAGAGCTAGGCGCTGGTAAGCAATTCATTCCGCTCAGTTGGAGATTGTATACAGTTTGTGATAAGCGCTACAATAGAGACATGGGGACTCAGGTAAGGGAAACCTCATTCAACCTGAGGAAGAGGAAGGAAGAAGGAGAGAAAGTAGGGATGGTGGGGGTGAGGAAGGAATTCTGGACAGAAGGAGGAACAAGCACAGAAGGCTGCAAGACTTGAGAGCAAATATTGCGCATTCTGGGAACTGCATGCAGAACAGGATTTCTGATGTGAAGAAGCTCATAGATGTGGAGGTGACCTGACAGGACACAAGCCAGAGGAGCAGGACCAGATCCCAAAGAAACTCATAAGCCAGGCTCTGGGAAGCATTTCTCTTGCCATGGAGACCATGAAGAGACACGGATGGATTTTAAGCTATTTTACAAAAATCCCTCTGACAGTAGCATGGAGAATGGAGTGGAAGGCCTAAGACGCAAGACTCAGAAAGCTGTAAGAAAGATATAATCTAAAAAGACGATATAAGGTGCCGAACCCTTGAGGGCAATGTCAAGGGAGGTGGAGAGAAGGAAGTGGATTTGAAAGACCTTTAATGAAGGAAAATGGGCAGGATCTGGTGACAGGATTGTAGGCTGACTCCAACTTGCTGTAGCCTAAGCAATTTACAGGTGTTCACTGAGGTTTTTCAGGACAGGAGAAAGCACAGGCTCAGGTGACGATGACGAGTTCAGCACAGTCACACTGGTCCTGTGAATGTTGCTTCTTCTCCACACCCCATTTGGTCTCCTCTGCACCATACCCAGCAGCTGCAACTCATCAGAAACAAAACCCCAAGTCTGTGCAGAGACCACTGTCCCCTGAGAGTGCTTAATCATTATACTACACACTTTGACAACAACAATCCAAATCAAAGAAGCCCCAGGGGACATGTTAACCTCTAATCAAATACTTCTTTTCTACCGTTTTCACTCCTTTGAAACCTCTTCCTGCCACCTCACTCCTGCAGCCTCACCTAGCAAGGCAGGCTTGAGATGAGAATAAGCAGGGGGGCAGTGAAATAATAGGAAGTAACTTGAGCCAGCACCCTCCCAGGAGTCTTTAGGTTTCAGGTGGCATGTTTGCAGCCTCTTTCAGGTCTGGAGCCTTCATCCTTATCGGATATACTATGCCTGTGGTTAGAAGTGAAACCCACAGCTCCTGACCTTGTTTGTCACTGCTCACTAGAGAGGAACCTCAAGCTGAATACTGCCACCTGTCCCTGAAAAGTCTTGAACCCTGCGACAGGTGGACCTTTCTTTCTTCCCCTCAAGGAAAGTGTTAGCTTCCTAAGTGGGGGAACATGGGCAAAGGCTTTCTGTTTACAAAGTGGTTATGGCTTAGATTTTTAAAAAGAGGGTAGAACTGTTGGATGGCCTGCCTGACTTAGGTAACCACTTTCTTTAAAACACTAATAGGTAATTGAACTTGTAAATGTCACACAGTCTGGCGGAAACACCCACGGACTCACACATTTAATTTGACAAATGTTTATGGAGCACTCACTCTAATGAAAGGTCTACTGTTCTGGGTGCAGGAAGATTGGTAGGTGAATGAGGGATACTTCTGTCCCAGGAGGCCAGAGTCTAGTAAGAGAAACAGAACATAGACAGGACAGGATGTGTCCACAGGGCCAGTGCTTATCACAGGCATTGGGCCCTTTACACTGGTTGATATTTAATCCTCACAAAAATCCTATGGTAGGTACTATTATTATTCTCATTTCAAAGATAATGAGGCCGAGAGACGGGAGGTCTCATACATAGCAAGGGAGCCACAGATCCAGGGCTCAAATTCAGGGGGTCTGGTTTCCAAGTCTGTGTGTTTAATCTCTATAAAAGGTTCTATGTAGTGAACTAAAAATAAAATAAAATTAAAAAATTTTAAAAAATGCTATTGGAACACAGAGAAAAAAGTAAGTAATTATGATAAGAATTCAGAGGAAACTTCTCTAAAATCATTGGATCATGAGTTTTGGCATCAGAAGTGAATTCAAATCTTTCATCAACCATTTTCTAACTGTTTTAACTTGGGAAAGTTATTTCATTTTTCTGAGAAATGTGATCATAGGTGTATAACATTTAATGTAATATTTGGCATATAACAAGCTTTCAGAAATCACTATTTTTTAAACTATATTTTATTGATTATGCTATTACAGTTGTCCCAAATTTTTCCCTTTTGCCCCTCCATCCAGTACCCCCAATTCCCTCTAGCAATCCCCCACTTTAGTTCATGTCCATGCGTCATGCATATAAGTTCTTTGGCTATTCCATTTTCTCTACTGCTCTTAACATCCCTCTGTCTATTCTGTAATTACCGGTTTGTACTTATTATTCCCTGTACCTCTTCCCCATTCTCCCCATTTCCCCTTCCAACTGAAAACTCTCCAAATGATCTCCATATCTATGATTCTGTTTCAGTATCTGCTTGTTTGCTTAGTTTGTTTTTTAGATTCAATTGTTGACAGTTGTGAATTTATTGCCATTTTAATGTTCATAGTTTTGATCTTCTTCTTTTTCTTAAATAAGTCCCTTTTACATATAATAATGGCTTAGTGATGATGAACTCTTGAAGCTTTACTTTGTCTGGGAAGCACTTTATCTGCCCTTTGATTCTAAATGATAACTTTGCTGGATAGAGTAATCTAGGTTGTAGGTCCTTGCTTTTCATCACTTTGAATACTTCTTGCCAATCCCTTCTAGCCTGCAAAATTTCTTTTGAGAGATCAGCTAAGAGTCTTATGGGAACTTCTTTGTAGGTAACTATCTGCTTTTCTCGTACTGCTTTTAAGATTCTCTATTTTTAACCTTTGGCGTTTTAATTATGATGTGTTTTGGTGTGATCCTCTTTGGGTCCATCTTGTTTGGGACTCCCTGTGCTTTCTCGACTTGTATGTCTATTTCCTTTACCAAATTAGGAAAGTTTTCTTTCATTATTTTTTCAAATTAATTTTTAATTTCTTAGTCTTTCTCTTCTCCTTCAAGCACTCCTGATTTGAATGTTGGTACTTTTGAAGTTGTCCCAGAGGCTCCTTAGCCTATCCTTGGTTTTGTTTTTTGTTTTTTGTTTTGGATTCTTTTTCCTTTTTACTGTTCTGATAGAATATTTTTTTCTTCCTTATGTTCCAAATCATTGATTTGATTCTTGGCTTCATGATTCCACTGTTGATTTTCTGTAATTTTTTCTTTATTTCACTTAGTGTAAACTTCATTTCTGCCTAGGTCTTTTTTAAGGTTTTGAAGTACCCAATGAGTTTCTTGAGCATCCTAATAACCAGTGTTTTGAACTCTGCATCTGATAGATTGCTTATTTCCATTTTGTTTAGTTCTTTTTCTGGAGTTTTGGTCTGTTCTTTCATTTGGGCCATATTTCTCTGTTTTCTCATTTTTGCAGCCTTCCCATGTTTGTTTCTATGTATTAGGTAGAGCTGCTTTGACCCTCTGTCTTAGTAGTGTGGCCTATTGTGTAAAAGCTCACCTGTAAATTGGATGGGGCAGAGCCTTAGGTAATCGCCAGGGAGGGAAAAACCCTTGTGAACCAGATCGATGGAGTCTCTGATATGATGTCGCTACTCTTTGGCTGTGTGGCAGGAGGGCTCAGAAAAGAGACTGTGGCCACAGCCTGGCCTCTGGAGTTTTGTCTGGGAGCAAGCATCCCCTATCACTTGCCCTCATACCAGACACTTCAGTTTCTTCCTGTATGCCCCTGGTGCCCTTCCAGCTGCTGCTCTGGTGCTGGAGCCCAGAGGGAGTGAGTCCTAAGTCTGTTGTGGGCTCTTTAAGAGGAGACACTTGAGAATCCCGCAGTTTCTTCCACTGCCCCAACCCCCACTGGTTTTCACAGCCAGGAGATATGGGGACTTATGTTTC